ATTCAAACTCATGTCCATTGAGTCGGTGATGCCATCCAACCATCTCATCCTCTGTCAACCCCTTCTTCTCCTGCCTTCAATCTGTCCCAGCATCAGGGTCCTTTCCAGTGAGTCAGTTCTTCACATCAGGTGGCCAAAGTATTGGAGTTTCAGCTTCAGCATCAATCCTTCCAATGAATATTCAGGACTGATTTCCTTTAGGATGAACTGGTTGGATCTCCTTGCAGTCCAAGGGACTCTCAAGAGTCTTCTCCAACACCACAGTTCAAAAGCATCAGTTCTTCAGTGCTCAGCTTTCTTTATAGTCCAACTCTCACATCCATACGTGACTGCTGTAAAAACCATAGCCCTGACTAGACAGACCTTTCTTGGCAAAATAATGTCTCTGCTTTTTAATATGCTGTCTAGGTTGGTCATGGCTTTCCTTCCAAGGAGCAAGCGTCTCTTAATTCCTTGGCTGCAATCACCATCTGCAGTGATTTTGGAGCCCAAGAAAATAAAGTCTGTCACTGTTTCCATTGTTTCCCCATCTATTTGTCATGAAGTGATGGGACCGGATGCCATGATGTTAGTTTTCTGTGAAAAAGCCAACTTTTTCACTCTCCTCTTTTACTTTCATCAAGAGGCTCTTTAGTTCTTCACTTTCTGCCAGAAGGGTGGTGTTATCTGCATATCTGAGGTTATTGATATTTCTCCCTGCAATCTTGATTCCAGCTTGTGCTTCATTCAGGCTACCATTTTACATGATGTACTCAGCATATAAGTTAAATAAGCTTAGCTTAGCTCTCTAGAAATTTCTGTATATTGGTGGACAGGACAATATTCATCTTATAGTAAATGCCACTTGTGATCTGTTGTCTTTAGTGTTCTTAGAACCATGCCTTCCTGACCCACAAGGTCAAGTTACATATTTGATCTTCACATGAACTAGTTGGGTTTTCTGTTACCTTGTTACAAACAGGCTACACCCCTCACCTGGGATGTCTGACTTGGTATAACTTATAAGAAAGGAAGCTGGGCCACAGATCTGATATGAAACAATACTGATTGATCTTGGCTCCTTAAAACTCAAAACTTCCTTCTCTTGGCCTTTGTGAAAGCAGAGCCTGACACATGTTATGCACTTCTCACATTGGTTATGATTTTATCTGCCTTTGCAGTATTAAGCATAGCATGTTGTTTTATTCATCCTGTGATTTTTTTGTAGCCAGTATTTCTATTTCCTTCAACAAATAGAAATGAGCCATTTAAGGACTGAGATTGCAAGTATTTTTGTCTTTGCTATGCCTCTGGTGCCTGGTACAGGGGCTGGCATGCATTCAGTACTTGCTATTTATTAAATAAATTAGTTTCGGAAAAAAAAAATAAATTAGTGATTGAAGGTATGGCTGAATAGCCATTCTGTGAGAGCAAGAGATTGGGCAGATTATAGTCTTCCTAGAAGGTTATGTCTCTGAAATCTGAGAAATAAAGCCTGTAAAATATAAATTTGGGAACCATCCTGATAAAAACAATTATAGAAACTGTGAGAGTGGAATTCCATGAGTGTATGCAAAACAGAGTGTAAAAATGGAGGGAAACTGAAACAAAGAAAGAGGGATTGGAAGGAGTCAGACCTACAGGAGAGCCCAGTGGCCCAGGGGAGCAGTCATCAGTGGGGAGACAGAGGTGAGAAGAGAGGAGAACAAGAGGGGGCCTTTGGGTCTGAGCAGAAATCAAGCAAGTGTAATGTGAGCCTGGGTGCACAGCCTAAGAGAGGCTTGGGGAAATGCCACTACCTTTTTGTTTGTACTCTTCATCTCTAGTAATTCCAGTTGAGAGGGAGCTTTTTCTTAAGCAAAGACATAATTACTTTTGGTTTTCTACTGCACATATGCCTGGTATCATAGGACACTGTACTAATACTGAAGGGTTTATTTTGTGATCTCTTTTAAGCTGGTTACTTAATGACTATGGCCATATTTTTCCATTACTTCCATTATAGGTAATGATGTTTGATATATATATATCTAACTATTGAGGGGAATTGCAAACTTGTCACAATAGTTGGAGATTTGAAAATCAACATGAAGGTCAATGGGAAAAATGTAGACTCTTTGTCCAAGATTATCTGGGAACTTTTTAGTTGAAATTTTATTAAATTCTGTAGTTTATGAGATTGCTACAAAGCTATAATGACATGCCCTGGCAATAAAGAAATTTGGTTGCTACTAATGGGGATACACATATGACACACACATATATGTATAATTTTTTCTTTTGGGTGTGATGTTAATAAAAATCCATATGGGGGACCGGTTGGGGAATACATTTGAGTTTTATTAGAATGCTGTCATTTGTGAAAGCTTTTGCTCTTAATTGAGATTACTTTATTGTAATGAAAAGTTGTTTAGTTGCTCAGTCATGTCCAACTCTTTAGCGACCCCATAGACTGTAGCCTGCCAGGCTCCTCTGTCCATGGAATTCTCTAGGAAACAGTACTGCAGTGGGTTGCCATTTCCCTCTCCAGGGGATCTTCCTGACCCAGGGATCAAACCCATGTCTCCTACGTTGACAACTGGGTTTTTTACCCCTGAGCCACCTGGGAAGCCTCAGTGAAAAAAGACGCTACCATTTATTCAGCAGCTACTTTGTTCTAGACATGTTACAGTGATCCTCGGAAGGAGATATTATTTCTAATTTAAAGTGAAGAAATTGAAGTTTTAAGTAGTTTGCCCAAGGTCCCAGGGCTAGTAAGTAGGAGAGTCTAGCCATTTTTTAAATCCAAAGCTATGCACTTTCCAGTCTGCTGTCTGAATGAGAATCTTTAGTGTATCAGAGTGAGGTGTATATTGATTGGAAGCCAAGAAAGCTCAGAAAAAGGGAAATCAGGCAAGTCAGAAAACCACTAGATGAGAACTTTTTCAGCATCCTTTCCCCTAATCTGCCTGTTTACCCATGTCTGTACCTGACACTTGTCTTCTTCTTACGTGCGGTGGACAAGGCTGCTCCTCTCAGGACTTGACTCCTTTTGTTTATCTCTCGCATCTTTAGTCTGTTTCCCTTTCTTGACTAGCTTCTTCCCCGAAGCGTAACCTAGACCCTTTCCAAAGCAAAGGCCTTCGGTATTGTTTAGTCATTGCTGTGTAACAGACCACTCCAAAACTTAGTGAAGTTAATTTAAGATATTTACTGGGCTTCCCTGGTGGCTCTGTGGTGAAGAATCAGCCTGTCAATCCAGGAGACACGGATTTGCTCTGTGGTCCAGGAGGCTCCCACATGCCACAGAGCAGCTAGGCCCGAGCGCTACAATTACTGAGCCTGCTCTCCGGAGCCTGGGAACCGCATCTCCTGAAGCCCCCGCACACTGGAGCCTGTGTTCCGCAATAAGGGAAGCCCCCACACTGAGTAGTGGGCCCTGAAAGTACAGAGCAGAGCCTGCTCACCGCAACTCGAGAAAAGCCTGCACAGCAGCGGCCAAGCACAGCCAAAACTAAACAAATGAAAAACTTTTAATATCTTATTGTTGATAAAAGCTATCATTTGTTTAGCGCACTGTTTTGTGAGTCAGCAAATTAGTCTGGGCTCAGTTGGATTTGTGTTTTAGGCGCTCTGTTGTGTCCAACTCTTTGTGACCCTGTGGGCTGCAGCCTGCAAGGCTCCTGTCCATGGGGATTCTCCAGGCAAGAAGACTGGAGTGGGTTGCCACGCCCTCCCCCAGGAGATCTTCCCAACCCAGGGCTCAAACCCAGGTCTCCCGCATTGCAGTCGGATTCTTGACCGGATTCGGAGCCACCAGGGAAGCCCAAGAATACTGGTGTGGGTAGCCCTTCTCCAGGGGATCTTCCCAATCCAGGAATCAAACCGGGGTCTCCTGCATTGCAGGTGGATTCTTTGCCAGCTGAGCTACCAGGGAAGCCCCGGGTTGGGCTTACTTATTCGTTTTTGGTCAGTTCAACAGGTCTGTTTCTGAGGCATTAGCTGGTCAGTGGCTGCGGCCATCAGGTGACTAGAGCACGTGTCTTCCATCCTGCAGCAGGCTAGCCTGGACTTGTGCATGGTTGCATGGGAGGGTTCCAAATGAGAGCAGAAGTCTGCAGATCACCTTGAGGCCTAGATTCAGAATAAGTATCCTTTGCTCTTCATGCTGTCAACCAAAGTAGGTCACAAGGTCAGCCCAGGGCATGGAGAAGTAGACCAGTGAACAGGGTACTCTTTCCTCGCTGGTCAATCCAGTTTACCCTTCAAGACCATAACCATGTCAGGCTGAGTCACGGCCTCGGGTCACGGCTTCCTCGGTCCCTGCGTTTAAAACACTGTATGGCAGCTGTTGGTTTACTGCTTAGTAGAAAATGAGTTCCTTAAAGACAGTGACCGTGTTTCAGTCCAGGATTTGGCACATAGTGGAACATTTGAAAGTGGAAATTTTTGTGAAAATAAAGCATTCTAGCAGTTAACATCTGGCAATATGGACTAGAAGACAATATATGCTTCCATTTTAAGACTTGCCAGTGTCAGACAACTTTGGGGCAGACTCTAATATATCAAAATCAAAATTTCTTTAAAATTAGAAAGCATTCTGAGAAGAAATCACTAAGTATCTGTGTGCTATCATTAAATATCTGTGTACTATCTTTGTCTTTTTGTGAGGTTATAAGTTTTTTTTATACAGGAGGCAAGTCACATTTTTATGGCATGTTTGTCAGAAAAAGCATACCCAACCATTCACTGCCCCACTGGGATTTGGGATAACATTTCTCCTTTAGGATGTACAATGAGGAGAGATGGCAGCTGGTGTCCTGGGAGTTGCTCTGGGCAACACAGAATATAAATGTTTCCATTAAATGGGAAATGAGATGTATGTAACATAAGTTCATCTTTCAGTGAGCATGTCTTGTCGATGCCCTAATTCTTAATTGGCGGATTTTCATGTGCATTTTTTTTATTGTGTTTTAGATTCAGCTGCCTGTGTATTCCCCAAACCTGACCACATCTTCCCATCTCCGACTTGATATCTCACCATGCATCGGAGATCAAGAGGAGTTAGCATCGGGCTGCTTCTGCTCCTTTCTCAAATCTTCCAGGTTGGGATCAACAATGTTCCACCTGTCACCCTGGCAACGTTGGCTCTCAACATCTGGTTGTTCTTGAATCCCCTGAAGCCGCTGCTTAGCTCCTGCCTCAGCGTGGAGAAGTGTTACCAGCAGAAGGACTGGCAGCGCCTGCTGCTTTCCCCTCTTCACCACGCAGATGACTGGCACTTGTATTTCAATATGGCATCCATGCTGTGGAAAGGAATTCATCTGGAGAGAAGACTGGGGAGTAGATGGTTTGCCTACGTCATCGTCACATTCTCCCTCCTCACTGGGGTGGTGTACCTGTTCTTGGAATTTGCTCTGGCAGAATTTCTAAATGAGCCTGACTTCAAAAGGAACTGTGCTGTGGGTTTCTCAGGTAAGGCAGACACATTTATAAAGTTAGCCTGCATGAAGACAGTAAGGGAGGTGCAGCTGTTGTTGTTTTATGAAGTGGGGGTCCCAGCCGGTGAGGGAACTGACATCTGAGTGGCTAAGGACTGCTGGGGCTTAGCCCCAAGGATTTTGGAGCAGAGGCTTATTGGAACACAGGAGAGTCATTGATTTTGCTATCTCCCATTATGCCGCATTATTCATTCTTGGACAGTTTAGACTATGGTCTGCCCAAAGGTAGTTTTGCAGGAAATAGGATTTTGGAACTATGCCCTGGCTCTGTTGTGATGGGGCCAAAGAGAGAGATGCACTGGTATTTGTGATAGGGAGTTCTCTAAAAAGATCACGCCTCTCAATAACGCCATTAAAATAAAGGTACCACACCCTGTGATGGAACCTCCTTACCATGATATTCTCTGTACATGTGTGTGTGCTCAGTCATGTCTCACTCTTTGTGACCCCATGGAATGTAGCCCACCAGCCTCCTCTGTCTGTGGGATTTCCCAGGCAAGAATACTGGAGCATGTTGCCATTTCTATCTCCAAGGGATCTTTCCGACCCAGGGATTGAACCTGCATCTCTTGCATCTCCTGCTTTGGCAGCCGGATCCTTTACCACTGTGCCACTTGGGGGGCCCAGTCTTGATGCACAGTTTATGCTGTTTAATTAATGTAACAGGTCCATCGGGAAGTGGCCTTGTGTTCATTTTCTAAGTTAGGAAGCTAAGGCACAGGGAAATCAGTCATGGTTATACACCTCGTAAGTGATGGGGCTGGGATTTGAACCTAGTCTACATGACTATCCATGTGTTACCTTACCTCTCACTGTTGCCCCTCACTAGTTCTTTTCTTATAGGACTGAATTGCCATCAGGACTTAACATAGATCTTCTAAAAATTAGAATGTGAAGGGTAGGAGGGAAATTGTCCTGAAACAGAAGGAAAACAAACCCTTTCCTCTCCTTTCCCTGCTGTCCTTTCCCCTTTCCTCTAAGATACATCTTCATGAGTCTAATTGTGTGAGAACAAAGGAAATATGCCCTGTCTTCAATATTTCTTTCCATAGGAGTTAGAAAAATACACATGAATGGTGTTTTTTCAAATTGAGTTAAAAATCACATAGCATACAATTAATGATTTTGAAGTTTAAAATTCAGTTGCATTTAGTACCATTACTAGTGTGTTATTCCCATTTTGTGTGTTATATATTTAATAGCATACTCAAAGTCAGTATGAACTTCTGTTCAGAAACATTCAGGGAGATTTCCCTGGTGGTCCAGTGCTTAAGGCTCCGGGATGCCATTGTAAGGGTTGAGGGTGTGATCCTGGTTGGATTACTGAAGTCCTACATGCAGCCAAAAGATCAAAGAAAAGGAAAAAAAAAAAAAAAGAAACATCGAAGGAATGGTTACCTTCAGGATTGTCTTTCTGCCAAATGTTCAGGTTGACTTTTTATAAGGAGTAGAATATGTATCAAAGCCAAGAGTTGAAGTAGTCAGATAATCATTTGAACTTCAGTTAGTCTTTTTTGCCATTGTTGATCATCTCTGCATTTGGATTGCTGATATTTGTATGCTCTTCATTCTCTTTTAGGAGTTTTGTTTGCTTTGAAAGTTCTGAACAACCACTGTTGCCCTGGAGGCTTTGTCAATGTTTTGGGCTTTCCTGTATCCAACAGATTTGCTTGTTGGGTGGAACTCTTGGCTATTCATTTCATCTCGCCAGGGTAAGTGTTTACTCTTAGAGAATGCAAATGAAGGAACTGATATTCCATGGAGAAAGAATTGTAGTAATAATGAGGTAACTGGAGTTTGTGCTTTAACTCTTAAGGACAGAATCCAGTTAATGGTTTTAGTGTCAGATATTCCTGTGTTTGAATCCCATCAGCTACTGAGCTGTGTGATTTTGATGTACTTGTCTTATGTGAGTTTCCATTTTTTCACCTTTTAAGTAGAACCTGGTACACAGCTTAGGGGGTTAATATTAACCAGCCTGTCAATTAGTTAATTCTAATAATGATAATTCAAAGAGGCAGCTAGAAACCACATAATTTTAAAGATAAAAAAAATCAAAAGATATTTTAAAGGACTAATGCTTTTAAGCCACTTTAGTTGTGAATTGTCTTGGTGATTTGATGACAGACTCTATAAGCAGAAGATTTTACCCATGGTCTTGACATATGAACTGTATCGACTCTGAACTGTTTTGGGGTGGATTCACCTCCGTGTCACTGTGGCTGTGTCCCTGGAGCTCCAGGGAACATAGTTTGGAAATCCCTGACATCTGTAACTTTTCCTCTATAGATGAGGAGAAGGAAGTTCAGAAGGCTTGGAGACTCATTGAACAGCTGGTGGTAGATACCAGGCTAGTTAGGATTCCAGCCTTCTGATTCCTGGTCTGCATGTTCCCAGGGGAGAGGGGATGGAGTTGGAGGGTGCTTTTCCACTTTGATTCTTTTCTCTACTTTCTCTTCAGAAAAAGGAGTGAATTGTTTTTTTTATTTCCCTACCTTGATTCTTTTCTCTACTTTCTCTTCAGAAAAAGGAATGAATTGTTTTTTATTTCCCTACCTCTTCCACCAGCTGCACTTAATCTGTGTAATGCAACTGGAAGCCCATGGTTTGCACATTTATTTTTAAACTCTGGGGATCTGGATGCTGTTTGGAGAAGGGAGAGATTCAGGAAAGTTCAGAAAGAAGTATGGATATTTTTTAGCTGCTTTTCTTTTCAGTAAGGAGCTCTTTTGTTTTGCTTTTGGTTTGTGTGACTATGTTGGGTGTTGTACTTTATTTGAGAGTGTTCTTCTTGGGCTGCGTGTCAGGCCAGTAACCTTGAGTCCTTCTTTAATGCTAATTTCCCATCCCGGCAGGGCAGCCTTCGCCAGCTGGTCTGTAAAAGGCAGTGGTGTGGCCACTGAACTCCACTCATTTGCAACTGTATTGTTATCTTGTGACAGTTCCACCAAGAAAGCCTAACAAAATCTTCAAAGTTTTCTTTGAAAAAGGGTCCAGTAATGTGTGTCCCTTATCTGAACAGCCTTCCCTATACCTTGTCACTCACAGCTCCCTGACTTGCTCGATGTGACTTGGTTCTCTGTGTAGACCAGAGACTCTTGTGTGTGAGGGCAACACCCAACATTCATATGAAAATCACTCTCTCTGGTACTTGAACTTTTATTCTATAATGAATCCATTGAATAACTGTGCCTTTAATATTCTCATGCAACTATTGCTTAAGACTCTCATCATGCATTTTATTTTTTTAGGAACACCTCCCCCGCCCCCAGCCCTGTCCTTTTACATAGAAAAGGCATGGTTGCATTTTTATGTAATATGCTTATTCTGCATGGAGGGACCTGATACTCTGAGCCTGGGAATTAAATGGAATTTCCTTTGACGTTTGAAAGACTAAATCTTTTGGTTTTTGAAGATTTGACTACTTTGAATGATCAACTGAAGATATCCAAGCATCTCCTTATGTGGTGTGTCCAATAGAGACAGAGTTGAGCGCTGGTCCAGGAAACCTAAGAAGGGAGTGCTTCTTTGAGATGGATCTTGGAAGAATGGGAGAAACCAGAGCTCTGCTGCTCCACATTGTTATTCTCCTGGTGGTTGTCAATTAGAATTTTCATTGGGAAAACATTGCAGATCTTTAGAACAAAGCCTGCTTTATTGATGGACTTAATGAGCTGCCCTTTGGAGGGAAAAAACATCTGCCAGGCAAACCTTTGTGGCCCTCTGTGTTTTATGAAATCCACAGAATTAGCAGTTTCCCCCAGTCAGGGAGTTTTATGGAGGGAAGCCTCTCCAAACAGCCAGCCCCGTGAAGTGTATGGACCTGCCCAGGGGGGTGAAGTAACCACTCTCCTTTGCTGGGCCTTTTGCTCTTGATGCCGAAAGCTCAGCTGCTCTTTACGCCAATGCTGAATCATATTTTGGAGACAGTTCGGGGTGAAGTAGAAAAGGATAGTTTTGTTGCTTTGCCAGACAAAGGGGAACACACAGCCGGTTCAATGCCCTCAAAACCTTGTGTCCCCACTTGGGGAAGATAGTGAGAAGTTTTATGGTAATTGTTTGAAGAGGGAATGATCAGTCCATGGCCATTTCTTCTGATGAATTGGTGGTGAGGTAAGTAGGAGTCAGCATCATCAACTTTCAGGTCCAACTAGTCTGGGGTCTATAGGCTTGTGGGCGGCGTACTATCCTTAATCGTTAACATCTCCCACTTTGAGCCGGGGTCAGAATCTGCAGAGCAGCTCAGAGAGGTTGTGTGTATCCAGTGATGGAGAACAAACAGGACCTGGCCTCAAGGCTGCTCTTGACTGTTCATCCCTGGCTTTGCATCCTCTCCCTTTCCTGATTAACAGCTGCTTGCATCTGCCCACTGGGACTCAGGGAAGGTCCTGGAGGCTAAACGAAGGCTGTTTCCTACAGTCAAAGAAATCGGGGACACAAAGGCCTTGTGCCCAGGAGCCCCGCAGGGCCTGCACGTGTCCCTTCCACATCCCGTGTGTGGCTTGCTGCAGTGACAGCTGTGCCTCACTGGTCTTTTCCTTTCCCCGTGTGTCCTGGGACCCCGCTCGGTGGTTGAGTCTGAAGAAGTAACCCTGCTCCTTAAGGTGGTACAGGAGGGAGGAGATTCCAGAATTCTAATTTTCACCTTAAAGCTCAAATTTTATTAACAATAGATACCATTGGGTTTTTTTTTTTCCCTTGAAGGCTCACATTGTTTATTTTTAAGAAAATGCGTGCCATTTCTTATTTAACCGTGGGCAGTCAGTTTTTCTTTCGAGTAAGTGTGATGAGGCAGAGTTCATAAAAACAGTGGCCAGTTCATCTTACAGCTCAACCAACCACACTGGTGCTTCTCTGGGAGATTAGTACCTTAGTTGGATATAGAGTTGAAGCACTTTATGCTTGTTTCCCATTTTGTCACATAGAATATGAAAAAGATGTATACTTTTTAAGAAATTAAAATTTTACTATTTATCAAGGATATTCTTAAGCAGAGCTTCCATTTTCCCCTTTGAGTGTGAATCTGTGGCTGTGAGACACCCAGCAACTCTTGATATATTTTTGGAGTCACTGCCTTGATTCACTTGATTCAAGCAGCCAAGGCACAAGTGGTTGTACCCCCCTATTGCTTTTATGTCGTTGTTGTTTAGTTGCTAAGTCTCTGACTGTTTGCAACCCCCCGGACTGTAGCCTACCAGCCTCCTCTGTCCATGGCATTTCCCAGGCAGGAATACTGGAGTGGGTTGCCATTCCCTTCTTCAGGGGGTCTTCCCCACCCAGGGATCAGGTCCCTGACTCCTGCACTGGCAGGTGGATTCTTTACCCCTGAGCCACCAGGGAAGGCCCCGTTGCTTTTATATCATTAATGAAAATGCCAGTACATGGAGAAAGCTAATAATGCCTCAGTAGTATTATGAAAATAGTTTTGACTTCATGAACTGATGGAAGGGCCTCTGGGACCTCCCGTGGTCCATGGAGCCCACTTTGAGAATCACTGCTCCCAGCTCTCAGGCTGCCTCTCTGGCACTGCACTTGACTGTGTCTTAACTTGTGTGGAAGGAAAGATGGTAGCTTCATGCAGCCAGGGCTGGGAGAGAAAGGGAAGCAGTGAAGTATGCAAGAACACATGTAACCGTTGAAATCGCTAATTAACAATTCCTAATTAGCCTGAACTGTTAACGCTTTGTCCGAAGGAGGGTGGCCACTTGTCTCTGTCATTACAGGGACTGATTATAAGTTCTGTTCCACACGAACTTAGATGCAGGGAACTCCCATCCTACTTCGGGTTCTTGTGATAAGGTGCTTCTGGCTTGTTCGTCTAAAATGCAACATGCATGTTCTTTCTTCCCCAGTAGTGCTGAGATAGGGAACATAAAAGGCATACCTTGTGTTTGAGTGCCAGTTAACACCTCTGTGGAGTTAGCTATGTAGCAGTCTGTTGGATTTTTACCTTGGGAATTAGGAATGAGGTTGAGGAATAACAATTTGGACTATGATGGTTACACCATCTCCTGTCCCATGTGTTCTTTTAGAACTTCACTTAGAGATGGGGCCCAGGGCTCCTCTCTGTGAATTGAGTGGGTTTGTGGCTCATTGCAATCAATAGATGGCAGCAGAAGTGCCATGTTACTTCTGAGGCGAGAAGTCCCTTGCCATGTGAGCGGCAACACTGGCCCGTGGAGCCCACATTCCCTGGCACCCCCGTGCTGTGAGGAAGCAGCCCAGAACACGTGAGTGAATGGCTGATAGATCTAACTGTGTCTCAGCCCCCTCTACATGGTGGGGGAGAGACCGGCCACCCCATGTGCTTCCTGAATTCCTGACCCACAGAATCTGCAAGTGGAAGGAAGCAAGTGTTATCTTGTGCTTCTGCATGTGGGGAGATTTGTCCTGTGTAACGTCAGACAGGTGAATAAAAAAGAAGTAGGGAAAGTAGAATGAAAAGCAAAGGAGTACGCAGGACAGTGTGGGAGAAAGGGGAGTGAAAGTGGAAGAGAGCCAAGGAGGGAGGCTTGGGGAGCGGTGCATGCTGGGATGCTGTGGTACCCCAGGTCACAACAGCATCACCCATCAGGTAACAGGGCTTTAAAGCAGTGGTTGGCACTTGTGGGTTCTGATGCTTTAAAAGGTTCTGAAATCAGTGTAGTGAGACCCAAGCAGCGTTTGAAAGAGTGAGAAAGGAAGAGAGGAAGGAAGGAAGGGGGAGAGGAAA